TCCTATTTCTATGAAAATGTAAAGATCACCGACTGACACCTGTCAATTGGTAAAAATATTATTCAAGACTTAGGTTTTCCCATGAGATTAACTGTGTGCTTTCCTTAAAGGTTCACATTTCATGCCTGCACGAAATATAAATACATATGTTTTTAGCCTACATTAGAGCCTAGTGCAAACTATGAAGAGAATATATCAACTTAACGCCGATTACAAGCTACAGTTGCTTTTACAAGCATGTTAGGGCTTATAAGCAAAAAAAAGTGGCTTATGAATGAAAATAAGACTGCAAACGCTAAAACAGTGAAACACACAAAATGACAATATAAATGGGAGTTGGAAGTTTTGTTGAAACTTCTCCAATTTCCTCCAGAGGCGTGCACGTCGCGAGAGAGGCACACGGAAGGACATAGTCAAGTCATCATAAGTACAGAGGTGATTGGTTGACCTGTCGTGACTTACTCTGGAGGTTTGGCGCTAATAGATGCCGTTTTTGTTGTCGTCAGTCAGAAAGTTTGATGCCTTGACGGTATTGTCGTCTCCTTTTACCACCAAAGAACGAAGAATGGGCTTCCAGAAGAATCTGCTTGAAAAAGACGTCCCAGATGCTATAATCTCGGACATATGGTTATTCCGGCGCCGAGTATAAATAAACTTAAAACACACTCACTTTTTGTTGAAAACAAAACAAAAAAAAAACAAACAACACATTTTCTGTAGTAATTTTTCAAGTGTTTGTAAAATGAATAAGAAATTCCTCTTATGCCGCCGCTTATTTTTAGAACACAAACATAAAAGTTCTTTTTTTTATTTTTCAAATAAACATTAATCACTCAGCGCGCGCAAATATCGTTTTCAAATTAAAGTTTCGTAAGATATGTTAATGACTTCCCGATGCTCGACTGTAAGTAATTTGTATATGTATGCGTTTTTTTTTTTTTTTTTTTTTTTGTTTTTTTTAATTAAAGCTTCTTATTCTTTAATATTTTTTATGTATCTCATAATCTGTATTGAAATTTGAATTTTATTACACATGGACTATCAAATTATGATGTATGCCCTAGAATTGAATAAACTTTCTAAATTACACAATACGGGGTCATACTGAAATTGCGTCTTTCTCTGAAAATAATTATTTCTTTGTTAAAACATATTTGACCACATATTTCTGTCAATTAACTGTTCACTTTACTTCCGATTTTTGTTGTACGGAAACACATGTTTCTATTTGTGTTTTCTAATCAATTCGAATCTATAATCAGTTTAATGGGATCACCACCGGGTAAACGACTACTAGGTACTTTGGTCATGTTTTATACCCCAAATATTTGAATGTTTCTATTGGGATTAAAATGAGCATAGTTAAGTAAACAACTGGTTGTATAAATCCCTGACCTGTCTAATTCTAATTATGAGATCAGTGAATATATAAGACTTTCACTACAAAATATTCCTAAACAAAAGAGCACATGTTTAAATTTATTCCAATACAAATAAAAGATCAGAGTAGGGATCTGTCAATTGCCAAATATACTTTTATGTTAAAAGTTTAATTAATGAATTATGTAAGATGAAAATATAAGTATTGCTTTTTCATTTTTGCTAATGTAAAATGTAATATTGTGCTGGAATTTTTTTCGGGAAGGTCCTTATAGGGTTTTGTAGTTAAATAGTTTTTTTTCGGCGATAATGGTTCAAGAATATAATGTTTCAAACTATATGCTCATCACCATCAGTGAATTTTTAGTTAAATGTATGCAAAATATTTACTAACAGCTATGATATAGCGGTTTATGACCGTTTTCCGCGTACAGCCTCCTGGGGTGTACTAATAAGTTAGTTTTTCCTTTAGTTATCACGCAAGCATGATCCATGTCTCTGATGTAAGCGACAGTTTACAATTATTTGTCTTTAAAAATATTAAGGACTTTTAATGGTTTATAACAACAAAAAGAACATGCATGATATTGAGAATACGGCATTGTAATATACACCGGTTCTCAAATATCGTCAGTAAGACCGGTGTACACAATGGAGAATACGGTGTTGGAACGTTTCTAGTTAATGACCCGTCATAAACAGTTGGTCGCTGCGTAGTTAATTGGAAAATTGTATCAAGAATAATAAAGAATATTTGCCACTAAATTAAAGCATTTACTTACAAATTTTCATTTATGCTTTTTTGTTAAAAAAAATATTGATAAAGTTATTATTTTGAAGGGTTTTCATACCAGAACTATTTATTACAGACATACGTATGCCTAAACCTGATTACCGCGGCAGTATGACGTCACGGAGTAGTGATTTAAACAAAAATCAAGAATTTTTCAGAGAATTATCATCTTTACAAATTGCAGATATGAAATTAAAGAATGAAAATATTTTCATATTGTAAATGTCTGTGATGAGTGATGAGTCAGCTTAGAAAAGATCAAGGTACTATTTTTTGACCTGATTACCGCGGCAGTGACCTGATTACCGCGGCAGTAAGATTTGACGAACAGTTATTAACATTGGGTCGGCATAGCCTCCCCAATAATTGATTCTGTAATTTATGATGGCAAATATAATTTTCCACCATATTTTTTTATTTGACTTTTATATAAAAGCTTCAGAAAAACAGAAGGCCGCTTTAAATAAATGATTTCAAACAAAGCCGTTGGTTTTTTTTTGTGTGTTTTTTTTCATCATGCTTAAAAATTAAAAAGATTTTCTTATGCGTTTGATCTGACTTTTCTATTTCAATTTATGAATTAATTTATTTTCTTTTGCAATAGCTCTGACATCAACATTTTATTGTTTGACATGTTCAAACATATATAAAAACTCTTGAATATAAGGTAATCTACGTTACCATAACTGGTATATTCTTTTACTTTGTTCATTTGTTATTTTTGGTCTGAAAGTAACAGCTTTAAACCAAGTCATAGACTTTGTAATAGTTTATAATTTTTTTATATATATGATAAAAAAGATAATGTCTTAATGGCATTCACGAGGTATTTACGGCCTTAAGCTATTAGTTTCTTAAAGACATGGGTAAATGAATATGTTTGAGCATAAACCTTTCATAAATTTATCTCAGTATCTCAGTAGATGAACTTATTACTGATAATTACATCTAAGATTATTCAAAAGCAAGAAAAAAAAAAAAGAAACATAGTTGTCATTTTATCTTTAATATAGTTTTTTTTTTTGCTGTTGCCCAGATAAAGGTGATACTGTGTAATTTACGTTACCATTTTCTAGTTATGTTTGTATTGGTGTATGCTGCATACAAAATATATTTTAAAGTCAAATACTGTTGTATGTTAATATTTGGTGCTTATAATTCATAATAAAATCAACTAAATAAGTATAACAATGAGTTTGTTTATGTAGCAATTATTACTGATGATCATATTTTCCAGAAATATTCAACCCAACATAAATGAAAAGGTTAACGCTTGGTGTACGGTTTTATTAAAACCTGTGCATAAAATATGTAATGTTACTTTGGCAAATTATTTATCGAAGTGACAATCTGTATCAAGTGCATATATAGAATATATCAAAATATCTTTAATATGACCATTGGTTTATTTTTAGTTAAGGTAACGTAAATTACATTTTGCAAAAGTACTCAATTTGTTTCAGTGGCTGTTCTACAGATAATAATCGAGTTTGAGTGCTGTAACTTTCCCAATTTGTCAGACAGATATCTCTTTAACCATCTATGTAATAAAACTGTGATAAAAAACAAGTTCATTTTTTAACATTTTGTCAATTTAAGTTGGGCCTATCTTGTGAGAATAGGTGAATCACTGAGAATAGAAATAGTGAGATAAGTCAAGGAGATAAATTTTAGTGCGAGTACTTGGAGATAAATTCACGTGTGATCACCTTGAAATGGATTGTTATATATAATGCTAATAAAGTTATGAATTGAAACGGCTTCCGATCGAATAACTCATTTTTTTATCAGAAATAGAAAGTTGTATGACGGACTTTAATTAAAGTTTGTGGTTAACACCAAAATTTTATTCTATCAATGAAAAAAAAGTCTGAAACACGGCAAATATTTGACCAACTTTTACTTCTGTTAATCCCGGCAAAACCGACATACTAATTTATTAACTATCATTGATTATTCCCGTCTAGATCTTTGAGCATAATTTCCTTTTTTGAAATATACTACCTGTACTTTATGACCATAATTATTAATAAAGAATTTAACAAGTATATACATGCACGTTGATTTAGATCTATTTATATATACTAATAATTATGAAACCGAAACAACATTTCTAACAAGGAAGTAAAAAATACAACTTTTAGTAGATCTAGATCCTTCTACCAAAAGACTATTAAACTTATGAACATTTTTTAAATAAGTAGATAGAGATGAAAATATATAATTTAAATCTTCTATATACAAACAGAAAATAAAATAGATCCATAGATCATGTTCAATAATGGGGAAATTATTAATAATATATCTAGTAAACATTATAACAAAATATGGAGAGATATAATTAGAGAGTTAAGTACAATGTATACATGCACTCGTACGCACAATTATTAATCGAAAAAAGGCCGTTATATGTACAGTCAATCGCTTGAAGACGAATTTCAGCCACATATTCTTTCCTGTAATAAACAAGAATCTTATTTTATTTTTTTCCGTGATCCGTTTAAAATTCAAGGCTGGTCAAAATCTATATAAATCTGTGATTGTACGTAAACAAGAATAAAAAAAATAATGTTCTGGAACAATAATAATAATAATAATACTTATTATAATTATTATAGATCTAGATAAGTTTATTCATTTTTATAATTCAAACAATATTTAATCTACAGACAGTACACACGTTTTTTTACAACGCAAGTTCACAGTAAAAATGTACTGAATAATGAACCTCGTATGTTGAATACGCGCCTGAATTTTCTCGAAAACGCCTTCTTTTTCTATATACTTATCGAAAATCGCAGTAGTCTCCCTTTGCTTCGCTACATAGAGCGCAGCCAATCAAATCACTGTTCTCGAAACTTCCAAAACTGACGTCATATCCGCCGGCGTTTCTCACGTGTGTTCAGTAGATACTTGGAAGTCCATAAAAGCGGACGGGAACAAAGAAAAGGCTCAAAATTTTATTCAAGTTCACCGAAAGAAACTCATGTAAGTAGATATTGTTTATGTTTGAATGTTAATTTCTTTTTATATTTTTTTTTATAAATTTATTTTTTTAAAGACTGGAAGTTGGGACTTCAAGTGGAAGTAAAAATCTAGAAAAATCGATAATTTTTTTTTTGGAAAATCAAAAAGATAAAAATGGGACAATACAGTCACTTAGTTTCAAGATTGGTGTACAGTTTCACTACACCCTTTCACTACAACATCGATATTAGGCTTAAATTTGGATATGTAATTTCTAAATGTGATCGAATGTTCTAGAAGTTAGAACTCGATTGATCAGCACGACTCATCGACACGAGGTTAGTTGTCTTTGTCCAAGTTTTCATACAGACTTGTTATGTATGTATAGAGCACTATACTATAGTAGATGGGGAGTTACCCAGTGTAATCTGAGGTCTATGAATTCAGTATGGTTATATTTAGTAGCATTTTTTGTGGTTTATTTGTTGAAAGAAGAGCGATTTTAAATTATTGAATAATTAATTTAAACAGAGAAAGTGCTTTTACTATAGTTCTGGCTTCCAAAACTTTATAAGCCGCTTTTTAACATTTTTGTTTTTCATCTGATGCGGCATTAAAGTTTTGGATTAGACCCGTTACGAAACCTAACCAGAATAACATAAGTTGATTTATTCTTGTTTTTCACTTGCAAATACACTTGACCCAATCAATTCTTGTGCATTTTACGATAAAACAATCATTTTAATATCATTCTATACCAATTAAAGTATCAAAAATATTAATACCGTCAATAAAAATTGCCTATTTAACTGTAAAATATCAATTTACGCCGAACTACAGTTGGCCATGACATTCAGGTGCCACGCGAGATCTCGTATGACGTCATTCGCGGGAACAGATTTAAATAGAGTCGTTGTACTATATTTAGAACATTTTGTTGACATGATTTCGATACTTTTATTCAAGATAATGTTTTTATTTATGTTCATTAATTTTTAGTACTTAAATACGATTGTATTGAATATAAAAGTCAGTAAATCACCTTTTTCATATATCTTTAAAAAAAGTAATTTATATAAAAATATTGGAGGCACATGGGTTCGTAAAGGTCAATCTCGTAATCACGTGATCAAAACATTTTTGGCAAATATGGCGGCCAAGTGCCGAAAATTTTACCTGTCGGAAACTATTAGGTAGTTTATGTTCGTAGTAAGATTTTTTATTTGTCCATCCTTGGCTTTCAAACAGATTATATATCGTTTTATCAAGGTATGCTTCACTTTACTTCATGGCATGTTCGATGAATAAATACGAGCATGTCAGATTCCTGGCACGATTATTGGTGGACTTTCCCTATGGGGTTATCTTCAGCGTTCACGTCATGTCATAGTATATAAACGGGTACGCTGAAGACCTTAAGCTACTTTTACTAATGCTAGAAGAATATTTATTTGCAGAATGGCGAAGGCACCAGCTATTGGTATTGATCTGGGAACTACATACTCCTGTGTAGGAGTTTTCCAACACGGCAAGGTTGAAATCATTGCCAATGACCAGGGAAACAGAACAACACCCAGTTATGTCGCATTTACAGACACAGAAAGACTCATTGGGGCA